ATATAAATGCCTTATATTTTTAGATATTTAAACAATTAAAAAAAGACAAAGAAAAACTATAAAAAAAGTTAGTGAAGTTGTCCCACATTGGAAGATAGATRGTAAAGGAAGAAAGAAAWGATGTTATAAAAAGAGAGGAAGATGAATGCAATTTTCTAACTTTGTCTTTTTGATGATGAAATTTGAAGTTGATCTCTTTATTTTTATAAAAACTAAGAGAACACTTTTAAGTTTTAAAATTTGTAAGAGAAAGACCCTAAGTTTTATAAATTTCAATGAGTGAGTTTGGTTCGAGCTTGATTCGAGTTGTAGTTCGAGCTTGATTCGAGCTTAGTTCGAGCTCGAGTTCGAGCTCGAGCTTGAGAAATAGTTATCGAGTTCGAGTCGAGCTCTGATTTTTACTACTCRTGAGTTTTCGAGTCGAGTTCGAGCTTGGAAATTMGGTTTCGAGTTCGAGTCGAGTATAGTGATACTCGAGCTCGACTCGAATCATTTACACCCCTACCCATGCCTACATGTGATGACTTAAAGATTAAGCAAGTCATTTGAGACCATGTAACCTTAGTTAAAACTCAAACCATAGATTGATTAATTTAATGAAGTTTCTCGCTCATATTTCTCCCACTAGGAAACCCTTCTTCCGCACATTTTCGAGCTATTTAAGCCATGCTCACAGTCAGAAAAATCACCAGTCGTGCAGAGAAGACTCGAACCAGCCAACTATGGGAAAGAGTCCAAAGTCCTAGCCTATATATTAGCGTAGTCCTAGGGTGACTCAATATGAAGTAGGTAATTGAGAGAACATTAAATGTTTCCTGTGTATTGCATATCCATGTTGGAACATAGGATAAGAATACCACAAGCATTTTCAATGTCCTAACTCTATGTCACTCAATGCATCGATCTCCGTTCTCTTTCTCGAGGAGAAGATGGAAGATGGAAGATGGGATATTTTGTTTTGTTTTTTATCTGTATCTTTGTTTTCCAAACGTACGCAAGAAGACATAAAATCATTGATTCTAACACACGAGATATTTCTAAAATTTCATTTGTACTTGATGAAAAGTGCAACCATGTAAATATAACATTTCGATTTCCTTTTATTCTTAAATTCATGATTTAATCTAAAAGATCACCCATTTTGCAGTAAATATGTGTCACATATCACACACAGAGTCAACTGCTGAAGAGTCAACCGCTGATGCCAACAAATGAGAGTTCAACATAGAGATGAAAACGACAAATTGACAACAAGGACCACACTCGAAAGTGGCTTAATATTTCAGGGAAGATTTTCCTAATTCACCCAACTTAATATCAATGACCACGAAGCAATATGAACCCATCTATCAACAGTGTTACCACATCACTTAGACAAACATAAGAGAAACAAAAGCCTACTTCTTATACCACCACAACCTAACAAATATCATGTTCTTATACATACTTTATACCAGACCCTTTTGAGGTTGTAAATATAACATAGTTGCAACTAACAAGAATGCCTTCTGTAAATAAACAATATACTTCCAGTTTGTACAAAGACTTCCATATTGCCATTAGAGCATTATTCAAGACTTTAACTGCTCCTATGATTCTCAAAATCATCCCACAAACCTTAATTTTTAGCTTCAATAGGGATATACTGGATTACATAGGAAAGTTGAAGCATGCTACCACTTCATTCACCCTGCTGCTATTCTATAACTACATCCTCATCTATCTATCAAACATTTGGTTGTATACTTGTATCTATACTATATTATAAAGCATTTGACAAAAACTCTTAAAAACCATTTTTTATGCATGAAGGACTGTATATTGATGCATATTACTTAAAATTCAAGATTACAAGTAAATTATGCATAAATACAACTTATTAAAGCTTCRTGTTTGAATTCGTGTAACTAACTGCGGATAAACATAATCAATAGAGGATAAACATCTTATTTTAAAATATAAAAAATCTAAAATATTATTAGGATAATTATCGAGTTCTAACAAAATAATTAATTATTATACTTAAAAGAAAATTATATTATTAACTACTTCGAACCTAAATTAAATTATAATAAACAAATATTGAATTAAAAAGTTACACAAAAAATAAGAATTTTAAATAGTTAATTTGATATTAATATTGATATATTTTTGTCAAAATTTTATAATATCTTCAAATTTATATTTTATTCAAAAATAAAAACATTATCGCTTTTTCAAAATCACCTAAGACCATACTATAACATCGACTGAGATAAAGAATAAAATGAAATATTAAAATCAAGATTTATCCCGCTGCATTGCGCAAGTACCTTTCTAGTTAATCATTAACAACTCGATCCTTTTTACATCCTGTGCTTCTCTATTAACACTATTAAGTTACACCGGTAATTATGTTTAGTCCAATGTAGCCTAAAACCATTAGGTCCCGTTTGGTTTGCAGGATTAGATTGGATAGGATTGGATTTGGAGGGATTAAGAATTGAACTTCATTCTAATCCCATGTGTGGTTTGAAGGATTTTCAAAATTTTAAATCCCAGGATTTCATTGAAATCCCATAAACATAGGATTTTGAAATCCCACGAGGGTGGTTGGTATTTCACGATATTTTGTATGATTTGTATGCAATAAGGTTTTAAAATATGTTAAAACATTTGTTTTGTAATAACTTATTAATAAAAAGGTAATTTAGTTACTTCATAATCATTTAAAATCTGTTTGTATAAATTATTTATAAAGAATGGAATTCAATTCATTCCAAATCCTACAAGCCAAGCACACCAAAGATTCCAAATCCCTCCAATTCCAAATCCTTCCACAAAATCTACATCAGATCCCTCAAAACTATTCCATCAAATCAAGGGCGCCCTTAGGCTCCAAGGTCTTTGTACATAGTTTAGCAATAACATCATATCTATTCTTATAATGAACATGAATTTCATTGGCAAAAGTAAAAAGCATATGGCATTATATATCATTTTGTATTTGTGAGATCATTACATAATTAAAACAAAAAGAAATGACTAAGCACAAACTCTTTACGTAAACACGTATTTATGGGAAGAATATCATTCTCATAGTAGATAGCATCATGCATGTATATGCCATCCTGGGCAGTCAATAGCGGTGCAATAGCGGAATGCGGTCTTGAGATGAATTGCAGTCCAAAATAGCGACGGTTTATAGCGGTGCCGCAATTAGCGGCGCTCTTCACCACTATTGCACCGCCAATTTTGTATCACAATAGCGGTCCGCTATACCGCAATTATTCTTGGGCCATTTCAATGTTGGGGCATTAGGTTTTTAGAATATTTGGGCTTTGTTTTTTTATTTTATGAGCCTTTTTTTACTTCTACTTCAATATGCTTGGGCCACTTAGACTTTCTAGAGTTTAGTTGACCTAAATTATATTCCTTTCAAGTTTCATCGACTGAATCATGAATCATATCCCAGAGATCAAGACAGAATTGTCCCTGCCTTTCAAGCTCCAGCCACTCGACTGAATGGTGAATCATCCAACCACTTGGCTCCATAAACTCTATTACTATGTTGCTTGTGTGGTTTGGAACTTTAAGTTGTTTGACTTGATATTTAATACAATATACTAAGTTATATATGTATATATTCGTATTTAAGTTATGAACCTATTTTTTTATTACCGCTATCCCACTGAGATAACTGCAATTGCATATCAAGGTCCCAACCAAGATTTCCGCAATCAACCATGTCAATTCTTAGACGCCATCAAAAGATAATATATCAGTTTATACAAGGTCCTCTAAATGTGTTCCTCATTCAGTCATTCTATATATGCCGTTAACCTCCCAACTGATACACCTTCGACCAAAAATGTCGAGTAAAATTAAACAAAGATGTGACCCATTTTTCATCCATTCTACCCAGGGTGAGAGATTATCACCATAAGCTAAAATGGCTCACTTAAACTGCAACTGACTATTGGCATAAGAACCTCTAAGAAAGAAAATACAATTGATCCATCGTCTACTTTATAAAGCTTATTGCAAGTCAAATTGCAATAAACCCCTTTGGTACAGCTTAAAATTTAAAATGGAAAAAAAAAAACCTCAAGACTTGTATTCGTTTAAACTTTAACTATCTTAAGATCCTTGTAACAGCTTATGTTTTTTAAAACTCTTACACAAGAAAGATAATTACATATCTATCATAACCCAATTAATGGAGAACATTATATATATGGACAGCAGTAAGTATGCGAAGATACTAGAAACCCAATCTATTCATTTATAAGGGCTGAATATAATTTCTATAGATTAAGTGCCTACAATTAACACTCATCTTGTAATGCCCATGCCTATAGCAGCAGGCAAGCACCAATATCTACCCAAATACACAAAACCATATATTTTCTCTAGCCAAGAAGTAGTCCATCACTTGTGGCAGATTCATGTAATAATGTATGTTATGCATGATGTTACATATCAACTTTCTTAAACAGCAAACACAAACAAAACATCAGCAAAAACAGGATAGAAGGAGACAACATACCTCAAAGCGTATGTTCTTATAAACAAGCTCCTCCACGTTGCTACCAACAGTAGGATGTGTAGTTACAACCTCACCCAGATGCAACTTGTAAAGCGTCGTCGTTTTTCCAGCATTATCCAATCCAACAACAACGATCTTGTATTCCTTTGCAGGAAACAACATGAACCAAAACTTCGACATGAGGGCACCCATATTCGTAACCCTAAATTCCCAACATGAAAATAAAAATTCAGACCACCATTTAATTTGAAACATATGAATCTCAACAGATATTACACAACAATAAAACAAGATCATCTATTAGCAAATCTTTAACCTCAGATCCCTTGTTTCTGTAAATATGTGTGCTCCGAAACCCTAGATTTTTGAAGAAACGCGATGATCGACTGAACGATCTGACAGTGGGGAAATACTAGGATTTGAAAGTTAGGCTTCCAACATTCATGGGAGAGGAAGATGAGATGATGCTACTCGTCTTTGAGAAATGCGTGATCGATTGATTCTGAATGTTTCTGGCTTTCCAAAAAGGATGTTATTCTCTTTTGTGATTCAATACAACTATAATTTAACAAAAAATTAAAATTAGAGTAAATTATAATTTAACAGAATGTTCATTTTACGAGGAATCAGATGGGCTTTGGTTGGACCTCATTATAGAACTAGAGGGTTCTAATTATTGATTTAACAAATATACAAGTTCTTACAAAATATACTAGTTGGACCAGAGGCTCTGTATCTATTGATAAGAGCTTTTGTATCAAAATCATATATTAAGAAGTTTTTAAGAAAAGAATTTTATATTTAGAATTTTTCTATGAAAATAAGACCAGAGGGGCTCTGGTTGGCTTACACGTTGAACCAGAGGCTTTGGTTGGTTTTGACTTTTAAACCAGAAACTCTGATTAATATAACCAGAAGCTCTGGTCATACATGAACTCTTTTTAATCATTTTTGGTTATGGAAAAAGCTATTTTATTACTCACAAAGTTAATCAAGGATCATTATGAGAAATTACCTGAGCAAGAGGCTTTGGTTAGTATAACTAGAAAACTTAGGTAGAGGAACCAGAGGGGCTCTGGTCCTCTTATAAGTTAAAATAATTTCTAAGTGTGGCCTTTGGAACCAGAGGTCCGATGGACTCAAACAGAATGTGGTTTTTATCCTTCATTTTATGAAATTGTTTAAATATTTTGGCAATTTTCACCATGCATTACATAAAAAGGGAACCTAACTAGACATTCATGTCTCTCATTTTGTGTTTTCAAAATATGTGTACGGGTAATGATAATAAGGGAAAGAGCATTCTGTGAATTATGTCCTTATGTACTTAGCTGCATGAAGATCTTAATTAGTCATATTTTGAAGTATAGATGTCAAGATACAAGAGCATGTACTTTTGGAAATTTTGAGTTGTGCTTTTTGCATTGTAGACTCTTGTATTATGGACCTTTGTGGGCTTAACATGTATTCTATGTATGAAATATGTGTTATATATGTAATATGAGATTGAGGGTGTTACATAAGTTGTTATCAGAGACTGAGTTTAAGAGATTTAGGTATTTACATGCATGATGCCTAGAGTTAAATTGTTTCATTGCATATAGGGGTCCCAGACATAGTTAACACATTTGGAATAAATATGATAAGTTACGAGATCAGTGTGTAAGATATTTTTGGATTACATGTGGCCAATGTAATTTTGAATTTACAGGTACATAATTGAACTTGGATACTTCATTATATTTGGGAATGTGGAAATATGTGTTTATTAACTTTGCTATCTACAAATGACTAGTAGATCCAGAAGGTCTGAAAGGATCACCCGCCCCAACCCCAATGAAGAAAAATCTCCTATCGTTCCTATTGGTACATCTGAGGACAGAGGCAGAGGTAGAGGCTGAGGGCAGAGGCAGAGGCAGAGGTAGAGGCAGAGGTCAAGGCAGAGGACAGACCAGAGGTAGACTTAGCCAGCCAGAAATCAATACAGATCAAAGAGAATCAAATTCTGAAAATATGAACCAGGAACAGATGCCCCAACCAGAATATGTGACTAGAGATATGCTGGCTGAAGAAATGGGAAGGCTAAGGGAAACCTTGACTTCCATTATGCGAATCCCTGCCATAATCAAGACTGGCAGAGTTGAGATTAATCCAGCCATCCCAGTTGTCAATAACAGGGAAGGAGACATAAAGATGTTTCTGACTTGCGAACCACCAATCTTCTCGGGAGAAAGAGATCCAATCAAAGCTATGTGTTGGATCAAAGAAACAGAGTCTGTTTTTAACACTATTAGATGTGCAGAGACAGACAAGGTCCGATTTGCAGTTTCAATGCTGAAATCAAATGCGTTATTCTAGTGAGAAATAGAATCCTTAGCCAGAACAGATATTTTGCAAACTATGACATGGCCAGAGTTTGTCAACAGATTCAAAGAGCAGTTTTGCCCAAAAGCTGCTACTAGACAAATGGAGGAAGATTTTTTGAAGCTAGCACAAGGAAACAGAACAGTGAGGGAATATACAGAGAAATTCATCGAATACTCAAGGTTCGCAAAACATTACATCTCTCCTGAATCAAGGAAAGTAGAAAGGTATATTTGGGGATTGAAGCCCTCAATCCGAGAGTTCATTATAGCCATGAATCCGGCTACATTTTCATTGACTATTGACGCAGCAGAGGTAAGAGAAAGAAACAAGAATAGAAGTGAAGAAGGAAAGCAAATCGAGAAAAGAAAATGGGAGGGGTCCTCGGCAAGTTATCGGGGATTAAAAGCTGTCAAATTTAATAATGGATCAATGCAGAGACCAATGGAGAGAGCCTATCCCCTGTGTCGACAATATCACCGAGGAGAATGTAGAACAGAGCCAATAAAAAGTTTTAATTATGGTGAAATTGGGCATACTTCGAATTTATGTCGGCAAAATAGAGAATGTTTTCATTGCAATTCACCAGACCATTTCAAGAACAATTGCCCACAGTTGAAAGCTCCACAGCTTACCATGGGGAGCAATACATTGACAGGCTGATGAAGACCAAGTATGGGCAGAGGATCGGGTTGGGCGCGGGGTCGATCTTTTCAAATGACCAAGCATGAAGCCGAAGCTACACCCGATGTAGTGACAAGTACATTCCTCGTGAACTCGATATATGCTAAAGTGTTATTTGACTCGGGTGCAAACTTCTCGTTTGTATCCTGTTAGCTTTATTATTCATCTCTTGTAAAAGTATAGAAAAAGTATTCTGCAAGTCTTGACAGAAGCATATCTTCCACAGAAGACAACAGAGGACTAATGACAGAAGCCTAATATTCGAGCAAGTAAAGTGTGATAGAACCTCTGATGTCTCTCACAGAGGTTCTGGAAAATGGTCCTATGTCAATAAGAACATGCAAGTCAATTATTACAGAGCCTCTGAGATGGCTCACAGAGGGTCTGCGAATTCGTCTTTTGTGAAGATCCTCTTCCAACTATTTTTCAAAGGTTGTTAGCTGCATGTGCTTCTCACGTGACTAGGACCTTAATCGACTTTATTTGGACGGCTTAGATGATTTCACGCGTCAAGATCTTGTTAGTAAGGTCATTAGGAACTAGTATAAATAGTGGCTAAGGCCTTTGTATTCAGTGCGCTTCCGAATTGTAATCGTCAAATTTCAATTGAATGAATTGCAAAACCTTTGAAGCTATTCTCCTGTGTTCATCTTCTTCATCATCTTAACTGTGTGTTCTTGGTTTAATTACTCTGTTCTGTTCTTATAATTGTTTCCGCTGCACTTTAATCGTCTTAGAGTTAATTCAGAGTAACAGATCAATATCAAAGCTGATTTTACAGGTCCAACAATTGGTATCAGAGCAAAAAT